CCCAAAGAACTTTGTACTCTTAGATTTACACCACACTAAAATGGCTGTTTTGGCATCCTCAGGGGACTAAAATATGTGTTCCTTTCAAATGTTCTTTGAGTTTGTGGGGCAAGAAGTCTGCAGAGGCAAGATGAGCTGTAGGGTGGATGAGGGGGAAAGTTCCCAATAAAATTCTCTTAGGACATCCCTGTTAACCTGGAACAGTGAGCAGGCACACTGTCATGATGAGAAAAACTCCTCTGCGCACCTTTTCCGGCCATTTCCTCACCATTGCAATTTCTGTTTTCTTAAACCTTCTTTATAATAAGCTCCTGTGATGGTAGTGTGTCCTTCAAGAAAATCTGTCAAGGTGACCCTTCTGGAATAAAAAAAAAAAAAAAAAAAAATCACCAAAGCCTTCTGAGTTGACTGTGGCACCAAGGATAAGCACTGGACTGCTAACTTAACTAGACCAAGTTAGGCACCCTAACTTAGACTAGGACAACTGTATTACTAAGACTGGGTAAGAATTCCTGGAGTGTAGTGGATTAGCGCTGGGCTGCTAACTACAAGGTAAGCAGTTTGAATCTACCAGTCATTGCAGAGGAGAATAATGAGACTTTATGCTCCCACAGTTCTGGAATCCTATTCAGGGTCTTTATGTGTCAGAAGTGACAGCACACCACCACCACCACTCTTGGAAAGGTCTGCAGAGACATGTTTGGTTTGGAATAAACCTTTACATGTATAAACCAGAACCTAATGGCCATATTTAGACTTAACCTGTGTGTGTGTGAATATATGCGTGCACACATGTATATATATTTGTATAGGCATTTTTTCCACTTAGAACATTTTAATAGAAATTCATGTTTTTCAAAAACCATTTTAATGGCTATGTATTTTACCACTTTACTGTATAGCTGTACATTTAATCTATGTCATTATACATTTTGTTTGTAAGCCCTTTAGCCAAGGATAAGATAGATATGTGTTTGTTTAAACAATTATACATCATAACAGAATGCTCAGTTCAGAATTAGACTTGCGCTCTGGCACTGCCTCCGTCTAGTTTTATAGCCTGTGCATTGTCTCGTAATTCCTCAGGGCCAGTTTCCTTATTGGAAAATGGGAGTTGCAGGCTAGTATCTGTGGTCCATTATTTTAGTAGCTTTTAAAAATGCAGAGATTAGCTACACATCCTTTATCACTAGTGATCTATTTAAGGGGTTTATTATAAGTTAAGAGTCTTGGTGTGGTGCCATAAGATAAGGACTTGACCTTATCGGCTTGAACCACAAGGTCAGTAGTTCAAATTCACAAGCTGCTCCCTGGAAACCGTATACAGGGTTACTATGAGTTGGACCCTACTTAGACGGCACTTAACAAAGATGTCTACAAACAGACATCTTTGCTTTTGAACACTTTAAAGGTCTTATGCAGAAGTCTTTTGAACACTTAAAAGAAATCAAATTACACATCATTTAATTTCTTGACTGCTGCTTCCGTTAAGTGTGATGGTTGATCCAAGAAAATGAAGTCTTTGACAACTCCAATGTTTTCTCCATTTATTAACAACATTACAAGTTACAGAGTCCTGGTGTAGCGCCATTGGATAAGCATTCGACCTCAAGGTCTGTTTGAACTGCAAGGTTGACGGTTCAAACTCACCAGCTACTCCTCAAAAGTCCTATACAGGGTTGCTATGAGTCAGAAATGACTCGATGGCACTTCACAACAGCATTGTAAGTTAATATCAGATTCAGCAGAATAAGTTGCCATATATATTGTTGTTATCTGTTGTGAAGTAGGCTCTGGTTCATGAGGCACCCCCACTGCCATCCACCTGTGTTACAGAGTAAAACTATTTCCATATGATTTTCTTGGCTCTAATCTTTACAGAAGCAGTTTGCCAGGTTTTTAATTTGTTAAATATAGAGATAAACACACACACACACATAGTGCCCTTGAGCGCAAACTGACCTTGAGGTTGAGTACTTATCCTACTGAATCACACCAGGACACACTATATACAATGTTGTTCTTAGGTGCTGTCGAGTTACCTTCAATTTACAGTGACCATGTGCTGCAGGTTGATGCTCTGGACTGCAAAGTCGGTTTGAACTGTAAGGTCAGTGGTTCAAGCTCACCAGCTGTTCTCAGGAACCCTATATAGGATTACTATGAGTCAAAACTGACTCAAAGGCACTTAACAACAATGCACAGCAAAATGAAATGCTGCACCATCTTCACAATTATTAAGCTTGAGCCCACTGTTGCTGCCACTGTGCCAGCCCATCTCATCGGAGGTCTTCCTCTTTTTCGCTGACCCTCTACTTTACCGATCATGTCCTTCTCCAAGGACTGGCCCTTCCTGGTAAGGTCTCCTTAGTATAAGGGATGAAGTTTGGTCATCCTGGCTTCTAAGGAGCATTCCGGCTGTACTTCTTCCAACACAGAATTGTTTATTCTCCTGACAGACCATGGTACTTTTAATAATTCTACCCAACACCATAACTCAAATTATTAATTCTTCAATGGTCGTCTGTATTCATTATCTAAATTGAATTTGAGGCTATTGCAAATACCATGGTGTGGGTCAGACGCCTCTTAGTCCTCAGACTGACATCTTTGCTCTTGAATACTTTAAAGAGGTCTTGTGCTGCAGACATCTTTTGAACACTTTAAAGAAATCAAATGACACATCATTTGCTTTCTTGACTGCTGCTTCCATGAGTGTGATGGTTGATCCAAGAAAATGAAGTCTTTGACAACGCCTTTGTTTTCTCCATTTATCATGTTATTTATTGATCGTGCTGTGAGGATTTTTATTTTCTTTACATTGAGGTACAATCCATACTAAAGGCTGTAGTCTTTGATTTTCATCAGTACTTTAAATCCTTTTCACTTTTAGCAAGTGAGATTATGTCATCTGCTTATTGCAAGTGGTTAATAAATTCTTCCAATCCTGAAATCACATTTTTCTTCATATAATTTAGCTTCTCGGATTATTTGCTCAGCATACAGTATAGTGAAAGAATACAATCCTGGCACACACCTTCCTGATTTTTAACCATTCAGAATCCCCTTGTTCAGTTCAAATGACTGCCGTTTGGTTTATGTACAAGTTTCTTATTCTTTGCAATATTATCCATAGCTAGTCATGATCCACACAGTTGAATGCCTGCATAGGCAATAAAGCAAAAGTAAACATATTTATGGTACTCTCTGCTTTCAGCCAAGACCCATCTGACAGCAGCAGTCGTATCCCTTGTTCCACATCCTCTAATGAATCTGGCTTGAATTTCTGGCACCCTTTTGATATACTGTTGCAACTGTTTTTTAATAATCTTCAGCAAAATTTGACTTGCATGTGATATGAATGATGTTGTTTGATAGTTTTTGCATTATGTTGAGGAGGAATGGGCACAAATATGGATCTCATTTAGTCGGTTGGCCAGGAAACTCTTTTCTAAATTTCTGGTGTAAATATGAGTGAGCGCCTCCAGTGCTGCATCAGTTTGTTGAAACATTTCAGTTTGTATTCCATCAATTCATGGAGCTTGTTTTTTTTTTTTGCCACCACCTTTGGTGCTGCTTGAACTTCTTTCTTCAGTACCATCGGTTCTTGATCATATGCTACCTCTTGAAATTGTTGAACATCGACCATTTCTTTTTGATACAGTGACTCTGTATTCCTTCCATCTTTTGATGCTTTCTGCATTATTCAATGCTTTGCCCATAGAATCCTTCAATATGTAAAGTCGAGGCTTGAATTTCTTCTTCAGTTCTTTCAGCTTGAGAAATGCTAAGCCTCTTCTTCCCTTTTGATTTTCTAAATCAAGGTCTTTGTATATTTCATTATACTTCTTGACTTTAATCACCAGTTTATCAATGCATCAAACAATTGCATGTTTGATCAATTTCTGACTGAAGAAGTTGGTAGAATTCTTCATCCTCACTGGCTTTAGTGGTTGGTGTGTAAATTTGAAAAATAGTAGTATTAACTGGTCTTCCTTTTAATGTATGGATATTATGCTGTCATAGACAGCACTGCACTTCAGGATAGATCTTGAAATGATCTTTTACATGATGAAAGTGGTGCCATTCCTCTTAATTTGCTGCTCCTGTCACAGTAAACCATGATTTTCTGAATCAAATGGCCAATACCAGACCATGCCAGCTCACTGATGCCAAGGAGTGTGTTACATTTCATTTTTGATGACTTCCAAATTTCCTACAATCATACTTCAAACATTCCATGTTCTGGTTATTAATGGATGTCTGTAGCAGTCTCTCTTCATTTTCAGTTGTGCCCCATCAGCAAATGAAGGTCTCGAAAGCTTAGCTTTTATTCATTTCTGTCATCATAGTCAACTCTAGTCTGAGGGGGCAGCTTGATTGAGCATCTGCTCTTTGCAGAGCACAAAGAATTTTACAAAACTCCCTTTCTGGATTGTTTGTAAATCTGGCTGATGGAAGAATCAGCTGCAGAACTTCAGTACAAAATAAGTATCAAACCATTGGGTCCCTGCTTCAAGGATGGATTTGATAGATCTGGGATGAGATATATTTTTTGTTAAGTGTTGTCAAGTTGGTTCTGACTTATAGCCACCCCATATAGGGTTTCAGGAATGGTTGGAGGCTTTGAACTGCTGACCTAACAGTCCAGAGCATTATCCTGCAGTGCCACACCAGGATGATATAAAGTTGCTATTAAAACAGCTCTGCAGGTGTTACCAATGCTCAGTCAGGTCTAGGAGGCATGGATAAAAGCCATTTTGGACACATTTAGGGAACACAAGTCTCAGCTTATTACCTGGTGTTATAGAAACCAGAATAATGGTACTTAACAGTGTTCAGAATATCCCAAGAATAAAGAGCGTTTTCATTTCTCTTTGAGAGTGAGCTCCCTATTCTTTACAATTCCAAGAATTCAATGCCACAAATTAGATTTTTATTACAAGCACAGATTGGTTTCCTTGCATTCTGTTGCCTTTAAACCTGTTTTGTTTTTTCAGAGGAAGAGGAAGATGTGGATCTCTTTGATGACTCTCCACCAGTACCGTTAAGGCACAAAGTTCCTAACCAGCCAGCTCTTCACCCTGAGGTCTTTCCAGTGATCGTGACATCACAAAATCAGTCTGAAAAACCAAGACAAAGCACTGGATGTTTCAAAGAAGAGAGTTTGCAAATCTCTCTCATGGCAAACTATGTAGATTGTCAGGAATCCAACAGTGAAGGTGAAGAAGAGTTAGACAGCCTGGCTTCTTTGCAAGGAGCTGTGGATCCTGAAACACCTCAGCAGCCGCCGCAGCAGCAGTCCGATGTGGATGTACCACAGTGGGAAGTTTTCTTTAAAAGAAACAATGACATCACAGATGACGGTTTAGAAAATGTCCCGTCTTCCACAGAGGCAGGGGCATCTCAGTCTCCGAGGCTTTTCAGTGACTCTGATGGGGAGTCAACCCATATCTCTTCCCAGAATTCTTCTCAGTCAACACACATATCAGAACAAGGAAGTCAAGGCTGGGACAGCCAGTCAGACACAGTTTTGTTACCTTCCCAAGAGAGAAACTGTAGTGATACTTCCGTAAACAAAGGTAGCTACAGGCCAAGAACCAAAGAGAATATTCTTGCCTCCCAGCAGGAACAAAATATACTTTGCCCAACGAAACCTTGCTCTGATTTGAAGAGTGGTGATCCAGATGTAAATATCGTTCCTGGTGTTGCAGAGGCAACCACTCTAAGTGGTGGGAAACACACACCTGAGGAGAAAGGGCTGCTGAGTTACAGCACCAAGACTGATTCTCAGAGCTCGTCTGATTTTGAAATCCCCTCAACTCCAGATGCTGAGCTACCTAAACAAGAACACTTGCAATATTTTTATGAGAAGCTGGCAACAGGTGAGAATATAATAGTTGGAAGGAATACAAAAGCTCACTCTTAGTTACTTTGAAATTAAAATCATTCTAGAGCAAATTAATGTATAATAGTTAAAAGTATTCACATAACCTAAAAGGCTGGAAAGGGAAAATAGAGGAACAGAAAAGGCACAATAAATAAAGTGGTAGAATGAAACCCACGCTTCACAATTATTAAGTGCCGTCGAGTCAGTTCTGACTTATAGCAACCCTGTAGTGTTTCTGAGGAGTGGCTGGTGAGTCTGAACCACCGACCTTGTGATTCAAACCAACCTTACAGTCCAGTGCTTATCATACAGCACCACATCAGGACTTCTAAACTTAACAGTAATTATATTAAGTGAAAATGGTGGATACACAGCAATGAAAAGACAGACTGTTGGTATAGAATTTAAGAAAGGAAGAAAAAAAAGCCAACCATATTCTATCTATAAGAAACTTACTTCAAATATATGTTGTTAAGTGACATCAAGTCAGTTCAGATTCATATAGTGATCCAGTACAGGGTTTTGAACGAGCAGATGGTGGGTCTGAAAACCACTTACCTTGAAATTAGCAGTCTATAGTTCTTTGCCTATATGTTGTTGTTGTTATGTGCCGTAGAGTTGGTTCTGACTCATAGCGACCCTGAACAGGGTTTCCAAGGCTGTAAGTCTTTACGGGAGCAGAAAGCCTCATCTTTCTTCCACGGAACTGCTGGTAGTTTCGAACTGCCGACCTTGCGGTTCTCAGCCCGATTCGTAACCAGTATGCTACCAGAGCTTCTTTATAGTTGTTAAAAATGAAAGGATGGGAAAAAATGTACCATGCCGACATAAAATAAAGCTAGCATGGCTATCTTATTACCAGATAAATTTCCTAACGATGAAAGGTCTGATCACTAAGAAAACATACTCTTCATTGTGTATGCACCTAACAGTTTCAAAATACAGGAAGCGAAAACTGGCAACTCAAAGAGAAAAATATTCAGTTATATCAGTTGGAGCTTTCAGCATTTCTCTCAGTAAATAGAAATCACCCAGAATATAACAAAACTGAGCAGTATCTTCCAATTAGCTAATTGACTTATACAGAACACCCCACTCTTTATAGGAGCTCTGCTGGAACTCAGCTGCTAACTGCAAGGCTAATGGTTTATAAACTTACCCAGTGGCTCCATGGGAGGGAAGACCTGATCTACTCCTGTAGAGATTTGTTAAGTGCCGTCGAGTCAGTTCTGACCCATGACTACCCTGTGTAGGGTTACCGGGGAGCAGCTGGTGAGCTTGAACCACCAACCTTGTAGCTCAGTCAACTTCACAATGATTGTAGCTCAAAAAGTCCCTGTGGGACAGTTCTGTCATATGTGGTTGCTGTGGGTTAGGACAGACTTGATGACACTTAACATAACACCCTAACAGCAGAATATTCTTTTTAAGTACACGTGGAACATGCACCTAGAGACTGTATCCTAAGCCATAAAAAAAAATGTTCAAATTTTGGACCTTTCAGTAAACTAATGGGTATGGGCAAAGACAAGCACCTTGTTTACCTCAAAAGATGGTTTACATCACTTAAGAACGTGTGAAAACAGTGGTAAAATTTAAATTAGAAAAATTAGGACCTAAAAGAAACACCTTAAGAATTAAATGGATTAAGTATGTGTTTTTTGAGTCATTCAACTTCCTGAAAGTCCAAGTGTTTTTGTATTGTGATTTAATAAACTTTTATTAGTACTCACAAACTTTGATATGGTTATTTCATAGACTAAGGAAACAAAAGGTGTTCACTGATACAATTGTAAATGAAATCATAAAGCAGAACTTACAGAAACTTGATGACATTGTATCATCAGCATGCAAAAGTAAGTATTGGGCCTAAGTCAGTGGAGAATAAAAAAACTGGGTGTTCAGAGGAACCAATGTCAAAAGGACCCAGCAAGCTAGCCCTCTTTCTCCAGATGGGAATGTTGGAAGCAAGTTTGTGTCGGGATGATTCTTTCATTGTGGGGGGTCACTAGAGAGTGACACATAGGCTGTAAACTTCTACTTTGAAACGGACAAGAGTAGTAAGGGGAAGCAACTAACATGTTTAATGGAAATAGGGCTGAGGGTCAGGGCAACATAAAGGAGCCTGGTTTCTCTCATTTCTGAGTAAGATAAATATGCTGAGCCATAGAACTTTAAGAGGCAGCTCTACCCTAAATTGCTTGATTTTATTGTAATTATTAATCCTACTAATGTGTACAGCAGGAGAAACAGTTATGAGAGTAAAGTACCTAGGGGCAGAGGAATCTAACAATGAATACAAGGAGGGTTTTTTTCTCATTATCCTAACTTCATTATAAAGGGCAGTTCATCCCTTTTTTTTCTAGCTTAGCTGCTAATGTAAGCTTGTTGTGTAACACTTTTATTCTCTTAATGTGTGGGAACAGATTCAGTATGATTGGGGCAGGACTGTACACAACTCTGTTTTACATATGTCCCCTTAGAGCTACGACATTTGATTCAAAGTGAGTGAAAAACAAACCACTGGAACAAGTTGGGATCGGAGGTAACTGGTTTAGTATCTAACCACTACAACAAGCCTAGTACAGAAACTCAAGACTTTTCATTTTTTATTCATGGCTCTACAAATTATGCTTCATTGTCTAAGTCATTTAATCAAATATAACTATGCACATTTGTATATATTTACTGACACTTAAAATTCAGAGTGATTTTTTACTTTGGTGTCCAAAAAATATCTGTAAACATTTTTTTGAATATATTCTTGGCTTTTTATCATCATACTGTTAGGTGCCATTGCATTGGCACCTAGCAGCCCTGTGCACAACAGAATGGAATTCTGCCCTGTTCGTTGCCATGCTCACAGTTGTTAGGCTTGAATTCACTGTAGTCAGTCCATCTTGGTGGTCTTCCTCATTTTTGTTGACCCTCCACTTTACCAGGCACGATGCCCTTCTTGACGTGTCCAAAATGAGATGAAGACTCACCTTCGTTACTTCCAAGGAACACTCTTGGTTATATTTTCCAAAACCGAAATGTTTGTTCTTCTGACAGTCCATGATCTATTCAATATATCTTCATCAATGCACTGATTTTTCTCCAGTGTTTCTTACTTATTCTCAAGCTTTCTCAAGTATATGAGGCAATTAAAAATACCATGACATCCTTGCTCTTTAACTGACAGTTTCAATCTTTTGTTTATCATGTTATTTATCACACTACGAATTTAATATTACATACTGCTACATTTTCACTGTTTTATGTAAATCTTGCATATGACATAGACATATAATGTTGGCTGAATGAATTTAAGGGCTCAGAGTGCCAGAACAGACTTTGACCAACAAACATGTAATGATCACTAGATACTTTAAAACTGTTTCTTAGTAGAGAGTAATAACAGCTAATACTTATATATGGTGATTACTCCTCACATCAATCCTTTGAGGCAGTTAACATTATGCCTATTTTACAGATGAGAAAAGTGAGAGAGGTATATAGCTAGTAAGGGGCAAAGCCAAGACTCAAATAGGCAATTTGGCCCTAGAGTCTTGTGTTCTTAACCAATAAGTTGTAATACCTCAATAAGAGCCTAAAATGGGTAGGATTAATTGTACGGGCTACTCACAAACTAAAGTATAAAGTAAAAGTGAAGACACCCAATGGCTTGCCAAATTTGCCTTGGGAGTCTCAGGACTTAGATGTTTATCTAAAACTAATAATGACAGGTGGGTGATAGTGGCACATGACATACACTGACTGACTGGGCATCACACCTAGTTCTCCTGCAGGGAAGGTGAGGATTCTACCACTGAACCACCTCTGACTGGGTACCAGTTTACTGCCTACTCACGGGATGACCTTGAGCATAGCATATTATTTAACCGGCCCCTCTCAGGTGTAACGTAAGGAGGATAGCAAAAACTTACCAAGTTAAGCCTAAGACTTGTTCAATGGATGTTAATGAGTTCTATAATCCCTGTGCATTTGCAAGGCAGTTTACAGTGGCAATATATTTAAGTATCTGGTGACTACTGATACAATAAAAAAAATTCAGAAATGTCCATACTATACTAACAAAACATAAAATTCTATACCTTTAATATTCAAATACACGAAACCATGACAAGAATAAGCTTTCTTAAAAGTAACATTTAAAGGACTTTCATACAAGCCTTTGGTTAATCTCATTGGCAAGTAGTCAGGAATACAGTATTTTTCTGCCCTTCTATGTGACCTTTCTAGAAAAATGACAGTGAAATATTCAGAAACAAAGCTATCACATGCTAAATGGAACATCAATGACAAATTTATTTTGCCAAGGATAAATTGTTAAGCTGTATAGGAAAAAGCAGTGCAGTCTATATTTTGCACACATGGAGAAAAAACCCTGAGATCACCAACTGTGTATCACAATCCCCTTATATAGACACTGAAAACAACGGCACTGATACAACCGTACAGTGGCTTCACTTACACTTTAAACCACCTAAAAATTACCCTTGAATATTTTTTTTATATTTGAAAGCACAAATTCTGACAACTTGAGGAAACTAAAGTAGCAAGCTAAATGTTGGCTTCAAATACAGCAACTAAGAGTTGCTTAAATAGTGTCTTACTTTTTACTGCTCACGTCCAGTCTTCATTAACATAAAGGTAACAACGGCTCTTAAAAATCTCAAAGGCCATTAAATTTCTACTAACAAGGACAAAACTACAGATTTACTAGAAATATCCTTTTTTTTCCGTTGCCCTCCAGTTTTACATTATTTTTTAACACATTAAAAAGAAGACAGGATCAAATAACTAGACAGTAAAACACTGACTTTTTAAAGAGTGTTAAGATTCCACCTTTAAGTCTGTGAAAATCGTAATTTGCAGGAAGGTTGGCAACCCAGAAGTCTGCAGCCTTTTCTCAGCACCATCACTGCTTCATACAGAAAGCATGAGAAATGGCATTCAAAATCAATTTTGCCTTCAGACTTCTGAAAATTTTGGTTAGCAGATACACTGAGGCTCTGAACATGTCCTTTTATTCT